TTTCATTATCTGTGTTAATTATCAGACATGAACTTCAATATTTAAACAAAGTAATCATAAAAATTAACTCTATTTGCACAAATGTCATATCATCCATAAAGTTTCTGCTGATCTCATTCTTGTTCTATTCTCTTCGATAAAAATAGAGTTTTGTTTTGAACGGTATCGCATATGCATTTTTCTTAATCGACAACAGATAAATTTCTATAGTGTGAGGTCAACATAAAAGCTTCATAGTAGTATTTGTTTACACTAATAGTATGAAAATAATCACAGCCTGTCTCAAAGAGCCGAAACTGATATAGTCCGGTTTTTTTTGAAGTATTATGCATCACGAACTTTGCCTATACGAATATATATTCTAATCATCGATGTGAGAAAAAAGAGCAAGTCGCTCTTTTTTTCTCAGTTGTTTACTTCATCACTAGAAATCATATGAAATTGGCTAAACACCAAAGAAAATGGAAGAATCTGAAAAAGAAAATGCGTAGGCAATCAGCCAATAAAAAGCAAGTCCGAACATCACACCACCTTAACTTCCTAAAATGAGGTGTATATTTACCTGAATAGTATTGAGTTGCAGTTCATATTACATATTATCCTTGTTGCTATTTCAGTTTATGTGTCTTGGTTTATACTCAATTTAAAATCAACATAGTGTATTACTCAACATGTTGATATTTTTATGTTATTTCAAAATCTATTTGATAATATCAAGTACGTATTACGTTTAATATTTCAATCTTATCCAAATGAATCTACCAGTGAACTATCACATTTTGTATAGTCTTTGAGAGAATCAGTTGAAAGAGTATAATACTTTGTTGAATAGTAAATATTATAGAATTTATAAGATTCAATCTATTTTTATTATGTTCATGCTAACTGTGCAAAAAACCATAAATGTAAAAAATACACTGTAATATTTATTTAATTTTTCATAATTTTTAAGATTTTCTCATAAAGAAAAAATATGTTTATCAACAAAGTTTATTCTAAACCAATGATAATACAATGTTAAGGAAGAAAACTTTAAAAATATTTACTGAATAATTTCTATTTTGATAGAAATATTGAGTAATTTGAAAATTAATTTTATTTTCAATTTTTTTTCTGTTCTTTTTCTCTTTCATATTTTTCAAACCGAACAAGAAAAAAAAATAAAGAGTACAATAGGAAACCACGTGATAACTGCAAGGTTTGACTTGATGACGTATCTATGGTAGTCCATTTTTCTTTGTCATCGATATTTCATCAAAATTTTTAACAAAAATTGATCTTTTAATTCTTTTTTATTAAAATTTTGAAAACTAGTTTCAATTCTATTGATAATTATTGATTTCATTTAATTTTACCTATTAATCATTACAGTTGTTTTTCTTCTCATTTAAATAGAATTGAATACTTTCAAAAAAAAATTTTCAAAAATTTTGACTGCTAGCCTATGTGTGATAATGATGACATGAAATGCATCGATTATCACACAAGTTTTTATTTTATGTTCCTCCGTTAGCTTTTTTCTTTTTTTTGCTTACAAATAAATGAAATAAGCATTTTTGTATAACAGCTAATGAAATGTTTTACTCTGAAATGTTGGGTTTATTTATATCATCTCTGTCAGTTATTTTTTGTATTCAGTTTATTAATGTATATTCAATCTAAGAATCCTCATACACAGCCTAAATATACATCAAGTTGCTACTTATATAAAAAACAAGTGTTTGGCATTAAAAAAAACACAATTAAATAATGTCATCGATTTTTTTTCTTCTTTCCTTAGAACAAGAATAACTATCACGAATAACAAAAATGTTAGTAATTGTAAATATAATTATTAACAGCATAGCTTTGTGTTTGTCGATGTCTTCTCAATTATTTTGCTTTTTATTCGAAAAAAAGCACAAGCAACTAATATTGACAGTGATCATACAAAAATATTCGATTGTGCAAATGAGAAAAAAAAAAAGGATAAAGTTTGGCAAAATGAATCTTATACTTTTTTTTACCAATCCGGCATTATCATTTGTTTTCTTTCCTGCTCGTACGACGACAGAACATTTGAGTATAGTAGTGATAAAATTAGAACGATTAGACAAGAGTGAAAAAAAGAACTTTTTTATATGAATCTGTCATCAACTATAAAATTTTTATTTTCTTATTCAATCAAAATAGTAACAAGCTTCACGGTGTTTCGTATGTCTATTGATGATAAAATTAGTAGGTAAATTAAAGTTGTTTTTTTTTTTACATATTTTCATTCTAGTTCTTTGTACGTTTTTCTTTTAGATTCTCTTTCATGAAGATAAAAATCAAAAAAAAAAAGATTGCAAAAACTCATAATTATCGATAAAACTTGATACAATATTCTTCTTCTAGACTAGAAAGTCAACTTATAAGCTTCCAAAATCAACTAAAAAACATTATTATCTAAAGTACTATAGATTACAATTTCATAATAAGTATTAACATTTAACATGTTATTAAGTTTTTTTTTTTCTAAATAGTTCCTGTCAATAAGATTACTGAGAAAAGCTACATACAAAAAAAACATATTGCTGCCTTCTGTTTTCTTGAGTCATAAGTTAACCACGCGTTTATACTCAGTTTTTTCTTCATATAGAATGAGAAAATATAATGACAGAACGGAAAAAACAACCAAAATAGAAGCTACAAATAAATACTATGAAGTTTAAAGCCTCATATTTATTGATATAAATAAAAGTGACTCATTTATTTATGATAAACTCAATCCACATACAAATATGTTAGTATTTATGACTACTATTCTGTCAATATTGATATTGAGAGAATAACTTTTAGTATTTTAAATTAAAAAGATTCTTTAGTAATCAACTCGTTATCTTATAAATAAAGCAATTGAAGATATGGATGTATAACTCTGTGTAGTCAACAGAGGTATGACTTTCCTTCAAAGAAAAGAATGTCATCAATGTTTCTTCTACTTAAATTTTCTTTTTGGACAATTATTAGTTAAACGTGTAATGTACCATTGTATTCTACTTTTCCTTTATTCTTCATTTTCTTTTAAATTCGTTTTATTAGTTACTAGTCGTTCTTTTTTTTTTTGATTCTTCTTTTCGTTTTCGCCTTTTCTTAATCATTACAGACTAAGACAAAGAAGTCATTTCTGGAATATTAAATTTTTTGTCTCTCATTATTACATGCATCTTTGTAAACACTTACGAACTAAGGAAGATTTCTGTATGGATATCTCTATCAGTACATATGGGTATGTAACAAAAATCGAATCACTTGACTTAGACATATTCTATGAAATTATTAGACTTATCTATAGACAAAATTTTGTATTGAAACTTCATTATAAGGTTTTGGAGATTATTGCTATCAAATGAATTGAAAATCTAGTAAATAAAATTATAATCTGGTTTCAATATCTCACGGAAATGAATCTGTTTTAGATTTTTCCTAGTCTCACTGAAATCTACTTGTAAGCCCATATGAACTCGAACGGTAGGTGTCAACTGAAATAATTTGTTTGTGAGTATACAGTCGAAAATATTCATAAAGAAATTAACAAAAAAAATTGCTAGGTATTCAATGATTTTTGAAAATAATAAAAGAAATATTTTGATTTAATTTTCTTGAAGATTTTCAATTATTTTTAGATAAAAAAAAAAGTCCTGTGTAGACAAAATATATATTGGATCAATGGATATTATGATTTATTATCGTTTACAAAACTTCTATACTATTTTAATATCGCTTATGTCAATATTTAATGTTTCATTTATCTATATGATTGATGAAAATAATGAAGATATTATAAATGAAGCTACAGATGGTTTGTATGATGAATTTATATTTAATTTTAGTCATTAGTACAAAAATACTCATTGAAATTAGTTTTTTTTTATCATAATGATAATTTCTAAAATTCATTTGTTTCTCGCTGAATAAAATTCGATGAAACTTAATTGGATTAGCCTTACAGATGATCTATCCTAATCAATTGAAAGATATTCATTTAAGGATCAGGATATTTTAGATTAAAAGATTTACTATTATAATTCTTTCTATTTGTATAGAATATTCTGAAACAGTTACCGAAGTACTATTAGATCCAGCTGTACAGATTGAATGTACGCATTTATTTATTTTACAAAAATATATTCTCATTGAAACATTTTTGAAATTATTAGATGTTCAAATAGATATGCGTATTGTACATACTAATAATCAAAATTATATAGGATTTGGACAAACTCAACTTTGTTATCCAGGTTCATTTTTTTTTCACATTTTGGTTATCTTTTGTATCTATTTCTTTATTATTTATTTTCTATTTTAGTTCAACTATTATTTATTAAGATTCAAAGTGAGTTTTATTTTTAAATTAAAAATGAAAACGTCAATAATATAATGATTCTAAATTGATTTTTGTAGAATTGATTAGTAGAATATATTATTATAAATTTCATATACTTCTTGGTATTTGTAGTTGTATATGTAAGTACAATTGAAAAGAAAAAGTCTTTTATTTATTAATTATTGAAACATCTGCTAAGATGTTCAATATTATGCTACGAAGATCGAATTATCAATTAATAAAAGTTTAGAAATATATGATAAGCTAATACTTATTCCATTAAATAATACTTATCAAGGTATAGAGGAAAAAAAAATTCATTTTTGTTTTTTTTCTATCAATCTATATTTATAGATCTTATTATGAACGAAGAACATGTTTCTTCTAATATTAACTCTACAGTAGAGAGTAAAGTTGATGTTGTTATTAATGATGAAATTACTAATATTGTAAAAAATAATGGTAGGTAAATTATTTAGGAAATTTTCTTTTAACTAATATTTCGATATAAATATTAAGAGTCAAATATCAAAGACATGTTAAAAGTAAATTCTGAAATAATATTAATCGATAATTTAACATGCACATTATATAATCCATTTTTATATGCTTTTACAAAATCATTTTGTTGGAAAGATGATATTAAAGATTTTAGTCCAGCTGAACCGCCAGATGATACACATTCGTTTTATGATAGTAATAAAAAGAGTATGTTATTTTTCTTTTCATATCTAAAATTTCTTCAGTTATTTTTTTAATCTTTATTTCTTTTTAGAACTAATGAATCTTGTTGAGAATAGTATAACTCCTGTCGAAAAAGCAGGTTTGTTAAGACATTCCTTTTTTTTTATTGTTTTCTCTATGATAAAAATTGAATAATATAATTAGATGAATTATTATCATGTTTTCAAAAATTTTTTATTGATATACTTAATGACGAACAATTACGTCAACAACGTCTGATGAATGAAAATGCCATATCAGAAACCGCATCAATAGGTAAAACTGTATGATTTATTTATTTACACTTGAAATATTTCTTTTTTCATAAAGATGTATTATCTGATCAAATATTACAAGATGAAGAAAATGCTATCGATGAAGATAAAGTCGATGATGAAAAATTTATACTTCCTACTTATTTAATGGGTATGCATTTTGAAAAACAACGAAATCATGTCTGTCCTGATCAAGAATAGCCTAAAGAACATGTTGCATTAGTCAAGAAAAGAGAAAACTTTCTTATAGCTTACATAGTACAAAACTCATTTTCAATATTTGTATTTTTTTTTGTTCTCATCAATGTGAATTAAATGATATTTTTTTTTTGTTTTGATTTGTGAAAACTTTATTTTTCAAAAAAATGCATTTAATGTGTTAATTATTTGTTAACAAATCTTGGCATATAGAGAATATAAATTCATTTTTAAAAAATAAAAATCTAGTTGTTTTCATAATTTAAATGAAAAAAAATCTTAACTATGATTTAACATCGAAATCTTGTGCGACAAAAATTAACTAAAAATTTTATTGCCTTGTAGAAGAAATACATTGTGGTTTTGTTTGCAAATGTTCGAATATCGTTCAATTTTTCTCCATTTAATCTAAAATGAGTGACATTTTGCTGTGTTCAATAGTTAGCTAAGTTTATTTTCTTTACATTGTATTTTAATTTTATTTTCTTGCATTTTCAAAAAATTACTTTCAACTTGACGAAGTTCTTTTTTTGCACATGAATGCGTTGAAATTTTCTTCATTTGTTCTTTTCAATTCTATCATTCCACTTGTTTGTTCGAAAAATATACCAAGTATATTCAATGTCACAACAGGGAACAAAATCTTGAAGCTTCTTGATGTATTGTCCAATCAAGATATTTTTGTTATAATCTAAAGTAGCCTAGATTGAACTAGCACGCTAGTAAATGGTGGTTTACGGAAAGAAACGGGATCGTAAAGAATACATAATTTTGAAAAAATTATGATCTGGTTCTCCATATACGGAGTTAAACGTTCATCGTTTACGAACCACATATGAATGCATACAGTTGTATACGATCATACTATATGCAAAATATCAGATCCTAATTCTCACCGTACATGTTGATTTAGGAATATTTTGTACTAAAAACTGGAACTTATAAAGAAAAAAAAAGAACTATAGAGACAAGAAATCATTACAAAGAGAAGAAATTAAAGTAAGCCCGTGGTCTTCATCAAAATGGCTATAGCTTTTTTATATTTCATTTTATAAAAAATTTTTGTTCAAAATCTTGTAAGTACACCTATCTATAATGTGTTCTTTGAGTAATACTTTGTGACTATATATTTGTCCCATTCGGATCTAATGTATAATTTCTCTTATGTCACTAGAAGAAATGTATTATGTCAGCCATTTTTATATATATTTTAAATTTTAAGTTTTGAGTGATTGCTACTTGTTTTTTTCTTTGATTTTTTATTAATGGATAGTTCAAAGTTTTTTTCCATCGTTTTAAACTAATCTTTAGTCTATATCTAACATGTGAAGAAAATTTTTAAAAAATCAAAATTAAAAAGATTATAACCATCTTGCTGAAGATCGCTACATTGTCTTCTACATTCACTTCTGCTTATTCTATGTAGGACTAAAATAGAACGGATTAATTTATAGTGCTTTTTTAGTTCTTTCATAAGTAACATATGAAATGAATGCTTTGATTCCTGAAACTACTGTTCTTCTAATTGAACACTCAAAAAATTCTCAATGAATCGTTTCATTTAAATCATTAAGTACAATTCATCCATCATTTGGTGTCATATGAAAATACAGTAAAAAATTTTTTGGAAATATTATTTCATCAAAAAGTAGTTTTTTTTCTTTCAAATTATCTTAGCCTCCAAAATCTTATATGGCATGTCATAGCCATCATTTATAATCAATTGTGATTGCTGATCATGTAAAAATGTCTGAAGATGAGATGTTAACATATATTCGTCAAAATGTTGATTATTTAAATGAAAAGCATAAAGCTCATAAATTAATGGCTTATGATTTGTCTGAAATGAAATGAGTCTTTGTGGATTTTATTTTCAACATAAAAACAACAATTGGGAATTTATATATTTTTCTATTATATCTTGCAGACAATATGATAGACCTCTTCAAATAATATCTATTAACAAGGTGAAAATTACTGGTCATGTTACAAAAAATTCTATTCGTTTTCTTTTTTTGAGATTATTATAGCTGTTAATTTGCACTCACACCCTCAAAATCTCACACTCGACACCCAATAATATATGAAAGTCAAACATGACGGCAGAATGTAAGGCGGAAATAAGATACCGTACGAAAAATTCTAATTTCGTACGTCTAAAATCTACAAATTTGTATAATTTTTCCATACAATGAAAAAAGTTTCGGTTGCATAAGCAAATTAAAAATGAATAATAAAAATTAATGTCCTTCACCGACCAACTTCTCGTAGGCATCCAAAGTTAAAAATTCCTTCAAATTTTTGTCACTGACGAATTTCATTAAAAGATCTGCGGCATCGTCCAATCGATTTCCTTTTTCAGCTTTGGTCGACCATTTTGTTTTTTCTTCCTTGATTATATTTTCGACCATTCGAAGATCAACTGAGCGGCCATCGTTCAATTTCGCTTCGTGGTGGATCCATTGCCAAATTTGAGAACGACTGATTTCTGCGGTTGCAGCATCTTCCATTAGATTATACAGGGGAACGCAACCTGAAATAATAACAGTGATTGACATTAGTGTCCGTTAAAAAAATCAATTTCTTCTAGATAGTCCGAAATGAGTGCACCAGACTTGGAGCGAATCACGTCATATATTCACATGCTCATTCAACTGCTTATAAAGAACTTCTAACCGGCAGCAAATTAGGTCGTACATAAGTGACGTTATTCGCTTCGTCTATGAATGCCCTATTCAATCCACTATTTAGAGTACCTATCATTAGTTTCGAAAGCTTATGTCCTTACCAGTTCCGCGTAGCCAAGATTCCAAATAGCCCAACGTAACATTGATATTATGTCGAAGTCCAACTTCCGTGCGTTCTCCAGTCGGAAACTGGATTAAATCCGCTGCAGACGGATTTACATCAGGTCTTTGACGATCCACTTGGTTCGATTTTATACCCATTACTTCGTTGAAGGCTTCGGCGGCCACATTGACGAGACCTGGATGCGCAACCCAAGTTCCATCATGGCCTTCAGTGGCTTCGCGGATTTTATCCTGAAATTTGAGAAACATTTTCGAAATTTTAGCGAAGTTTTCATTTTAGTTTTTTTTTTTAATTCATTAAATTTTATTTACTTCTCGCACAGCGTTCAAAGCTTTTGTATTTTCATTTGCATCCGATTTTATAGGAATTTGCGCTGCCATTCCTCCCATTGCATGGGCTCCACGTTGATGGCAAGTTTTGATGACAAAACGAGCATAGTTTTGCATAAAAGGGGTCGTCATTCGAATTTCTGAACGATTCGGAGTCAGAAATTCACGATGATTTCGGAACGCTTTGATATACGAGAAAATGTAGTCCCAGCGACCGCAGTTGAGACCCACAATATGGTCCCGAAGGGCGTACAAGACTTCGTCGATTTCATAAGTGAACAGAATGTGTTCAACCAGAACAGTTACCTTCAAAAATGAAATGAAATGATGAAATTTTTTCGAAAGTATTACGGCAAACAAACACTTCGACAAAAAAAAACTTTTTCCATACAAAACTGATGCAAATATAATCAAAATGAATGTTGCAATCCAACAACTATTACCTTAATGGTTCCTCGGGGCAATTTCAAATAATCTTCTGCGGCATCCAAAACTTCGTTCCAAAGTTCAGCTTCATGATAGTTTTCCATTTTTGGAAGATACAGATACGGTCCGGTTCCATTTTCCATCAATTTTTTGGCGTTATTGAAAACATAAAGAGCAAAATCAAAAATCGATCCAGACATCGGTTCACCATCGACTTTAACATGCAATTCTGGCAAATGCCAACCTCTGGGCCGGATCATTAGGACCGCAGGTTTTGAACCTAAAAATAAAAATTTCGAAAATTTTGAGTATTTCAAAATTTTTTAAAATTTGATCCCAGAATAATTCCTTACCAACTTCGTATTGTTTTCCACTTTGAGGATCTTGATAAGAAATTTCACCGCGAATGGCGTCATATAAATTTTTTTGGCCTTCAATCAAATTTCTCCACGTTGGAGTTGTAGAATCTTCGAAATCTGCCATGTAAGTTTTTGCTCCAGAATTCAGCGCATTAATGACCATTTTTCGATCGCATGGGCCTGTGATTTCGACTCGACGATCTTGAAGGTCGTTTGGGGTTCCTGAAAAGTTTCGGGTGAAATAATGTTGAAATTCAAATTATTAAGGAAAAAATTTTGAAATTTTTGCCTCTAATTTTCCAAGTTGCTTTTCGAATATCTTTTTCAGTCGCCACCAAAAATCCCGGTCGCTCGCCAGCGTCTAAACGAGTCTGACGGATTTTTCGGGCGCTCAAAATTTGCTGACGTTTTTTCTCAAATCGGCGGTGCAAAGTGGCCAAAAATTCCATCGTTTCTCTGTTGATTATTTTATCATCGCCTTTTTTCAAATCCATCGTGATTTCAATTGGATCATCTGCGGATACGGTCACTTTCGCCATACTGGACATTAGGGCACTGAAAATCAATTAAATTTTTTTTGATTTTTATTTTTACAAATATTTTGAATAAAATTATTTATAATATGTTTTATAATTAAAAAAATAAAAAAACACTTTCATGACTCGGAACTCATAGGTCGCACGTTTTGAGTCGTGGATGCCTTGGGCTCTTGAAATTAAATCGAATTTCTAGCGACCGGAATAAAAATTTACCGTGGCATTCTTCCGACAAATTGCTGTTTGACCGCCGCTTGGGAATGAACCGATGGGCTGCCAGCTGGCATTGATTGAGCTTGTTCCGTGAATTGTGCGGTTTCGGTGGATTTGGACAAGGCGGTTGTGCTCGCTTTTCCTCCTAAATATTTTTCATTATTAATCATTTGCTTTCTTTTGCCAATTATTTTATACTACAGATCTGCCTCAAATTCAAGAGAACTTTTTTAGTGAAAAATTTGGGAAATTTTTAAAAATCTGAAATTTACACAGCTAATTCTCGGCCATCTACGATCAGAAATTCGATCGGCTGAATTCTTTATTCCTGATTCCTTCAAGTTCTTTACCTGCAACAGCCATGGTCACCAAATCAAAATACCCGGTTCCAACTTCGCGCTGATGCCGAACGGCCGTGTATCCATTTTTTTCAGCGTCAAATTCTGCTTGCTGAAGTTCTGAATAAGCGGTCATTCCACGTTCCTTATAGTTTCGGGCAAGTTCAAACATTCCAAAGTTCACCGAATGGAATCCGGCCAGCGTAATGAATTGGAATTTATAGCCCATGGCTCCGAGCTCGGCCTGAAAATTTTTGAAATTTCAAAAATGTTAGAAAATTTCAAATACTTGCCTGGAATTTCGCAATCGCTTCTGGACTCAAATTTGCTCGCCAATTGAACGAAGGTGAACAATTGTATGCCATCATTTTACCAGGGAATTCCTTTTGTATTGCTTCTGCAAATATCTTTGCATGTTCCAAATTAGGCGTCGAAGTTTCCCACCAAAGAAGGTCAGTAAATGGTGCCGCAGTGAGACATCTTTTGATGCAATGCTTCACTCCGGTTCCCTTTTTCAGACGGAAAAATCCTTCTGCAGTTCGGCCGGCCGCAGTATCGATGAACTCTCGATCTCCTTCGTCGATGTCCGATGTCAAAAGTGTCGCTGACTCAGCGTCCGTTCGACTTACTATTACGGTCGGAACTCCGTAAACATCCGCCGCCAAACGAGCTGCGTTCAAGTTCCGCAAATGGGCACTGTTTGGGATCAAGACCTAGAAATTTTTTTTGAAAAAACTAATTTATACTGGAAATTCAAATTGAAATTCGGATTTTTATTACCTTTCCGCCCAAATGCCCGCATTTTTTCTCCGCAGCCAACTGATCTTCGAAATGAACTCCGGCAGCTCCAGCTTCAATATAGGCTTTCATGATTTCAAAACAATTCAAAGCACCTCCGAATCCAGCCTCGGCATCGGCAACGATTGGAGCGAACCAATCACGTTTCACTCCACCTTCAGACTGTTCGATTTGTGAAGCGCGTTCCAAAGTTTTGTTGATTCGACGAGCCAATTCCGGTCCGGAATTTGCTGGATACAAGCTCTGATCTGGATACATAGATCCGGCTGTGTTTCCATCTGCTGCAACTTGCCAGCCTAAATATATGCCGACTCTTATATGTAAAATTTTCAAAAAAATTTGAAAATTTCTATTTTTTTTCTCGAATTTTTTTTGCAGTTTGTTCAAAATGTTTTAATTTTATTTTTCTGCATCTAGAAGTAATTTACTGTAATATTATTAAGAAGTATCAGCATTAGATTCTGTTCATTCTTTTAAGTGAAAACTTAACTTAATCAAATGACTGAGTCAAAATTCAAAAAAAAAAAAAAAAAAAAAAAAAATTTACCGGACAAATAAATCGCGCGCAAGCCAGCGCGAACCATTTGCATTGCTTGATTTCCCGTGATAGCTCCGAGCGCATGAACGTACGGCTCCGTTTCTAACAACTTCCACAGCTTGTTCGCTCCAATCGTCTATAAAATTATGAAATTTTTCATATCATTAATTTTCAGGTCAACTTTTATCGAAAAAATGTATGCATACTATTTGAAAGCCATTGTGGAGAGATATTGAATATATATTTTTCAAGAACAACAACTAAACTATCAATCAACAAAATTTTTATTCATGTTGTATGAGCCTTAAAGGTGAATTACATTGATAAAAATTTTGAAAAAATTTGTCAAAGATATTTTTTTTAGCTTTTGCCTATCAAGGTTTAGCAAAAATAGTAGTCACTTACTTGTGCCTAGTTGTGAGTCGTTTTTGTCGCTCATTTCCTATCGTACGGTATTTAGGTGAGAGAAAGCTCGTATTCGCATTTATATTTTTACTCTTTTTGTTAAATCTTGATAGGCAAATAATAAAAGAAATACCTTTGACAAATTTTTATCGATATTATAATCTCTTAGGGTTGATGTGAATTGAATAAAAATTTCGTGGATTGATACCTTAGATGTTGCTCTTGAAAACTATACATATAATCAATCTCTCTTTACAATTGAATATTGCAAAGAGAGAGAAAAAAATAAACACGGGGTCGAAACTTATAAAATACTTTTTATAAACATAATCAAATCATGGTCTAGTTTTAGAAAATTTTTAAAAAATTTCACCAAAATATTTACCGCTAAAGTGTATTCAATCTGGACTCCACTGCGTAATTGATGAACTTGTTCAGGTCCATAGTTTCTTTGAATTCCATTCCAACGGCCCTTCGGTGCCGACCGTATTAATTCGTAGAAAGCTCTGTTCATGATATTGTCTTATGATGAAATCGAAATAGATAGAAAATGAAAATTTTGTATATGAAGTGGATCAATAATTATTCTTTCATCAAAACACTAAATAATGAAAATTTGCTTCTCTGCAGTCTATTTATATATGCTATGCTCTTGTTCTTCAGGCGATGTACCCATCATATGTTGTCTATTCTTTTATCCCTTCAAGGCCGTTTTTTCTCGTTCCCATAACCCGAAACAAGCAAATTTTTATTTTCTCTCTCCTATCTCTTTTCGTTCTTTCTTCTCGTTCTCGATTGAAAGACCTTGTACTTTGGACGACTCGTTCTTTTTTCAACTACTATTGCGTTTATATCAATATCACGAGGAAAGAAGGCAAAAAAATACTGCCACACTTCTAGTACCTTTCATATGTCTTTGTACTTTGTCGTTTATATTAAAAATAGGAGTCAAAAGAATACTTCTACATTTATAATGTTTCTTCATACTTCTGCATATTCGCTCATATAGATTTAGGTAATTTTTTTTGACTCAAGACTTAGAAGAAATCTAGTCAGTTTTTATGATATAGATTTTCATGTAGAAAAAAATTAATAAAAAAGTAATGCACCTAGAGCTTATAGTAGAGGGCAAAGAATCAGTCTTCTTTTTACTAGTAGTTTTTTGCAGTAACATATTCAAAGAGAGAAATCATCATGTTATTTCTCTTACTTATAATAATTAACAGAAAATATAAAAATATGTACTTAGAGAGAGAACTGTTACTTATTTGAACTATGATAAAAATAAAATAACAATGTTGAACATCTAACAGAGACAAATACTAATATTCATAAAAGATAACAATACTAGTGAATAATAATAAAACAGATAATATAAAATTGACATATGAGAAGAATCAAAATAATCTATCATTGATAATAAATAGAAAAACTAAACAAAACAAAGTTTTTATGATTTATATATTTATCTTTCTGTAGCCGATGGCAACATATTTGTTGCTGTTGCTGAACGTTTTGAGCTTGAAGTTGTTGTCATTTGTAATGACGACATGTTCGGGGAAATTTACGGTTTTAATGTTATTGAGCGAGTAATAGTTTGTGGTGTTGATGTTTGCCCTAGTGATAATGACACTATTTCTTTGGTTTTCTTTTGTTTTTGCTCATATGTAAACAATTAGAATCCTTTAAAATATTTATAAAAATTAGATAATTGTAATTTTTCATCTTTTTGAGATAATTTTGTTAGTACTCTACATTTTCATAATATTGCAGCATCTGTATCATCATTAATATTTACTACATTTAGATGCAAATCGATACATTCTATAAAATCGACATTATCTAATTTCAGGTTTTCTTTATTATGAGTATACCATTGGTTTAACAAATTTAATACGTATTATTTGTGATCATTAAGTGAAATTTATAAAATAGGTGCAAATGTTGGTAATGGTACTACTGCATTTGTTGTGACCAGAATTAAATTGATATTTATTGTTATTGGTGAATTATGACCTTTTTGTTTTTACTGTTATTTAAGTTTATCTTGTGTTAATTTAATCATAATTTTTTTTTAAATAATGAAAACTATTTCGAATGTCAGATAGTACTAAAAAATTTCCATCTTTTAATTTGAGACATAATTCTTCTTTTATATCATCTAATTTTTTACAATCAATATCAAGTTCTCATGCATCACAAATATCATTTGTCCTTAGGAAAACAGACATAGAACTAATTTGCTGGACTTCAAGTACAAATGCTTGATGATAACATAATCAATCTTTATCGGTTAAAAAATAGCATATCTGATGATAAATTATTACTCCGTGAAAGCCCTGGATTTGCCATATTGTACTAAATCATATAATTATATCAACAAACAAGAATGGCTTGTAAAGAAATGTTATTATGATGGAAAAAAAACATTATTCGAGATGAATGCATATATATATTTTTTTTACTTAAATAGAATTGCCATTAGGTAATTAAAGAACCATTTAGAAAAATACCTTTTTCTTTCTTTTATTGGTAGGTAACGTATTCGTTTCAATAAAAAAAACAGCGACACTGTCTGGGTCAATATAGGGACATAAATCATTATTGTCATTGATTATATGAATGATTCATTTTACACTGAAAATTCAAAGACTCTTCACCGAATCTATATATAAACTTTAGTTTAAATATTAATACTAGTTGTTACTATTCTATAATCGAAAATTTCAAATGCTTTTCAAGAATACAATTTTTTCTATTAAAATAATTAGCATATTGCAGAATATCAAAAATATTCTAGATCATATGAATTTAGATTGTCTATTCCTATAAAATTCACTTTCTTTTGTTTGAAATGACCTTCTTAATTGAAAGAATTGTAATCGATTCAAGACCAACAGTTTTATCATGCGTTAATCCTCTTCAAAACGATTCAACGTTTTATGATTTATAGGAGATGAAATAATGTTATAGTTCCTTATTATTTCTCTCAAAATATTTTATTGCTATTCTTTTAGAGACTTTGCCGATGCATCTTTTAATACATAAAAAATTCAATGTCATAGAATTTATCAGTGTGTTGCGATACTTTCAAAATATCCAATCATTTTGACTCATCCGATACTTTATCATCAGTATAAACATTTCAATGATGAATAACATGACTTGCTATGAAATTTTTATTCTTCTATTGATTTAGAAAGTAACAATCAGCAGTACAATTAACAAAAATAGAAATATCTCTCATTCCTGACAACAGTTTATTTTTTTTTTAGTTTTATCACAATAAAATTACATTGCACCGTAGAACAAATAATATCAGAGAAAAACAATCAAAAATACTGACATCTATTTGTTCGTTTACTTTTCTTTTTTTTAATGTTTCATAATTGCTTCTTCTGTACGATTTCGAATTGTTTCTAATATTTCTTTCCAATCTTTTTCACCAATTTTTTGTATTGTACGTTTAAGTACTTCCATTGCTTTTGGAAATGTTGCTTTAAATATTGTTATGACCTCATTTGGCTCGACAATACCTAGGACAAAATCAAATATTGACTTTCTCGTTCTTATATCACATGACAAAAAAAAAAAAGAACGCAAAACAAACCATCTTCTTTCCAACAGATGTCATCAGTAACAATCCCAAGTGCTGCATATGGTAGACCTAATTCTTTTGCAAGAATTGTTTCAGGTGTTTGTGTCATTCCGATTGTTGTACAACCCCAACTAATAAAAACTTTATTTTCAGCATAAGTTGAAAAATTAGGTCCTTCAATAACAACAACAGTTGATTTTTCTTTATATATAACATCAGGTGTTTCAGCACATGATTGAAGTAATAATTGACGTAATTCACGATCATATGGAGGATGCATACTCATATGCATAACACCTATAAAAATAATATTCCAATTTGTATATCAAATAAAGTGTTATTCTGTTACTGCTAACGAGAGAATTACTCAAAATGGTTATTCAAATAATGGATACCAGTTCGTATGTTTCCATTGTAAGCGAAAAACAAATATAAATTCATAGAAAATTCTTATAGATTATAATTTTCAGAAATTCACAATCGATAATTTAGTAATTTCACTATATGATAAATTGCTTTTAAAATAGGTCTTATTGCATTACGAAAGTACGATTGAGACTAGAGTAAGTCTAAAAGAATTTGTGCCACGAGTTTCTTATCTTCAATTATGATCATTTTAGTGAATTTTCAGAAATACATAATGTGTAATATCCGTCATTTTCAAGTATACAGTTCTCAATGACATTAGTTCATTATGAAAGTGTTCGATTTTCTGATCTCATCTTTTTTTGCGGCACTAATACTGAAAGTTCTGTTGTGTGAAGAAATAAGCTTTGTTCTTATATTTATCTGTCTCGATACGAAATACTAGAATATCTAAGATCTGTACATAGAACCTAATTAAAGATTTACAAGAAATCTTTTTAATTGAAGAACTTCATTTTCCATGATCATAGTCTCAATCTTAAATGATCTTTTTAGTCTTGAAAAATTTTCGGTTTTCGTGTCATAATCATGCACATAGAAATTTTTTCTACTCTTTCGAAATAGATATTCAAATTGGACAAAAAACGGCAATAGATTGATACTAAAATGATTATCTATTCTCTGATTGTCAATCGACTACTAGTATACCGACGGTAGTACAAATAAACGTCTAATATGGTTATATTATTTCTAATTTATTATAAAACACAATGATCATTGACAAACCTTGAAGATGACCAGGCTCATGATCATAAAATGTATTTGGACGATGCTTTGTCATATCAATGAAATTATCTAAATTATAATCAGAATCTTGATAAAAATGAATAATAGAATACACAATATCAATACCAAAAACGACAAGAGTACCACGTTTAAAATCTTCAGATAGTGAACCAACTGCTGTTGTAGCCAAAACTAAATCAGCACCAAGTTGTTTCAATGCCCAAAGATTAGCTCGATAACTAAAATGAGCGATAAAAAAGAACAGATTGAAAACTATAGATACAACAATATCAATTTTAAAATTAGTTACTTAAGTTTTGTAGGATTAAATGAATGTTGACGTCCATGTCGAAAACATAATACACATTGAACACCATTAATCGTTCCACTAACTAAATGATCTGATGGTTGTCCATAAGGTGTATCAAAAATTTCATGTTCAACACGATTTGATAAAATATCACTTCGATCAAAACCTGATCCACCAATAATTCCTACACGAATTGTTGATACCATCTGTAAATCAATTGATTATATAACAAAAATTTATCGTTTATAAATGCTTTTATTATTATTATTATTATTATTAATATTTTTCAGATCAATCGAAAAAAAAAAATATATTCACAAAGAAAAACAAAAAAGAAACACAATTCTTAATTAATTCATTAATTCATTGAGAAATAAATTCTTGCTGTTGATCATTATACTACAAGAAAATGCATATAATTAAAATTTTAAATAAAAAAAAACAAAACAAAACA